CCCTAAACCCTAAACCCTACCCCGTTTGGACCCTTGGTACCCCAGGCATGAGTGTTTGGGCTGGTGTTCTTCCTCTCATCTTCGGATGGTGTATCCTTGTCGCGCTACGCTGCCTCCGCGCTTGGTAGAAAATGGGCCAAGCTGCAGCTCCTGCGCAGGGGTTTAGGGATTAGGGGGCCTTGAGGTTAGCTGCCCGGATATTCCGAAGATCGCTGAAACAGCGATTTTTCAGACTGTGGTAGGATCCCTAATCTGACTTAAGGTACATTCCTTAAGGACGCAGAGTTATTTTATTGTTGCTGTTCGTTTGGATGCCTACCCTAAACCCCTAAACCCCTAAACCCTAAACCGTGGCTCTGCTTGATTTTCCGATCAGCTCGAAAAGGTCCTCAATTTACGGGGGAGTTGACACGTGGGATTGGGAGGCCTCGAGCTTGGTGCACCATGCTGTTGCGAAGATTGTAAGAGTTTTCTGACATCGCTCATATAGCTCTTGAAGCCTTGGGATGATGGTGACGGTGATGATCACGATGATGAGGATGAGGATGGTGATGGTTAGGCTAATGTTGATGATGAGGAAGATAGTGATGCAGTTCAGGGTGAATAACAGCGAAGAGTTGTTCCCATTATCACGACCATTGCTGTCGCAAGTAACGACTATGCAAGACAACATTGCTAGTGTGACACGAGTGCGACGACGACGTCGGCTGCTACTGCTTGGCAGCTACACACAGGTTGTAGGACTCTAGACTTGTGTTGCACAGTTCGCTTGACCGCAAAGCAAAATAACGAAATCAGCAACCTTTCCAGCTCGCTACTTCGGCTTGTTTGCCCGCGACACACAGAGGAGAGGGAGGAACCATAAGCCTAAACCCTAAACCACACCATCAGCAGCGACGTGCCCGCAATTCTGAGGCGTAAGCTTTGGCCAGTATATTCGAGTCTTCGGCAAGCCCTACTTCTTTGGTGCTGCACCGTGTTTCCAGGGTGTTTGCAGCACTTGACGCCTTGACATGTTCCCATGATTTCCCATGCTCCTTGTAGACACGAAGCCGTAAACCCTAACCATCAGAACCCCAAATCCAAAACTACTAAACCCCTAAGCCCGAAACTCAGAACCCTAAACCACTAAACCCTATGCCCTACCTGAACCCCCTACCAGTCGGCAGGGCTGCGGCGAGTGGCTCCTTTTGATGGCCGGCCAGCAGTGATGATGGTGGGGCCGCTTCCTGTCGTTCGGGGACTTAAGCTACGATTTAATGTAGGGGCTCAAATAATTTCCGATACTAGTTTGGGATTCCTTATTATAGTATAATGGGCCCCAAAACTTTATTCCAATTATTAAGGACCTTTACTCGGGTTTAGGGTTGAGGGTTTAGAGAGGATTCTAGCTACGATTTGGGGGTTGTGGGTGTTTTGCACAGGAAGGTATTTTTCCTCAAGGCTAGATCTCAAGACGCTTTGTTCAGTCAAGATAGGGTGCATCGTTCGGAAACTCTAGGTTTCCATCTTCGAAGCATATGATCCCTAAACCCTATAAGCAGAACCCTAAACCTTGCTTTTTGATCTCCACGATTTGACTTGCGGGTGTTCGGTGATATGACTCGTGGGGTTGAGCTCTCAGGTTCTCATCGGGGAAAAAGCGCAACATGTACTACATGTGCCAAAACTCAGAAACCCAGCTTCCCTGACTTACACGACACCTCGTCCCGCCCTCTATTGAAGCCGTTCGTCGGCACACCAACCCGACAAATCCCGAAACCATATTCCCAAATCCCTTTTATACCCATATGCCAAATATCAAGCTCAAAATCTTCGCCCAAAAGCCCCGTTATTCTTCAACCCAAAATCTTAGCCTAAAATCCCAGTAAAATACTTTTACTAAAATTTACCCTAAAATCTTACTAAAATATTTCCCATAAAATTCCCGTTATTCCTTAGGCTAAATTCCCCCGTAAAACCCAAAACCCAATCCCTTTAATGCACTTACCCCTAAGCCCTAAACCTAAGAATAACAATATGCCTTATAGTGGGGCAAGCTGGTTTGAATGAAATTTAGGGGCGAAGCCACTAAGCAACCCGACAGCCCAAATGTCAACCAAAATTCCGGAAATCCAATTCCCCAACTCGGCACCCAAAATCTCAGCCCAAAATTCCCGAAATCCAAGATCCCAAATCCTCGCTATACCCATAAGACAAACCTAAAATCCCGAATCCCCGTTATACCGTTAAACATAAATCCCCATTATTCCTCAGCCCAAATTCTACCCCAAAGAACTCAACAAGCCAACCCTATACACCCACACTTTAGTAATCATCTACCCCATAAACTAAACCAGCCAGCCAACACCGAGCCTCCACCCGCAACCTCAACCAATCCCGATAAAACATTACATAACTTTCCCTGGGACTCCAAATAGCCCAAAGGAGGTACTATTTACAGAATTAGACCCCAAAGTAGGTACTATTTACAGACTTTAGACCCCAAAGTAGGTACTATTTGTATACTTGGAGCCCTAGGGTTTATGTAGTATCTTACCCCAATACAACTGGGCGAACACCAAAGCCAAACACCAAAGCCAAGACCAAAACAAAACACCAAAGCCGACACCAAAACCAACCGCTATGCCTATTCATATTGAAGTCTTCCACCCCAGTCACTGCGATGCGTGAGCCTAAAAAATCACTCAAGACCTCAACCCCCAAAATTCTAACAGCCAACCCCCACGCAGAGCCTCATTCATTCCTACCTACAAACCAAACCCAAAGCCCTGTTGCAATAGCTGAGCCATGAAGTTCTACAACGAAGTGTAGCCCTAAAGTCCATTTAGCAAGTTGCGTTGTGTGGTGCCAACCTTTCCCACTCCGTCGGCGGACGTCAAGACCGCCATGCTGCGCATTCGAAGAGGTGGTGCTCCTGCCACGGTTTGTGCCGAAGTGAGGGTAGGGTTGTTGCACATGACATATTGAGTGCTTCAGGGGACACGCTTCCACACTCTTTCTTGGCCCGAATCAGCTGGAGGGCAGGAGTCTCGTATTCTTCCGCTTCTGTGGCCATCATGCGTCGATCTCGCCCGCGAGGTATCGTGATGCTTGCAGTGTGGGGAAGCATTTCCTTAGCACTGATGTTCACCAACCCTCCGAGCTCAAAAGCGCCCAAGCCGCCCAGCCAGCTGGGCGCGACCAGTGAACCAAAGACGGGGCCAGACACCAGCACCACGTCTACAGAGCCAAACGTGTTCTCGGGTGCAGACGCAGTGGCGCTTCTCCTCGCTTTGGTCGCCGCGCCGGCAAGTGTCGGATTCAACAACCAGTTCACTGCTGTGAATGCTCGCATCGACGCAGTGAACCAGCAGCTGGTCGACCTGAAGACGGACGTTAAGGATGTGAAGATGGAAATTTTGAGCACGAATGAGAAGATAGAGAAACGGACTGACGCACTTTCGGCCAAAGGAGATTTTTCTTCATATTTGGCTGTTGGCGGAGCTGTCTTTACAGTCACTAGCACTATCTTTGTGCTATGGTGCCAAACAAGAGCACGTGCCCACTTGGTGAACAGCGCTGAGACGAACAGTTCGATGAAAAAAGATTGCGGGCGAGTGGTTGGCAGTCGATTCCCACTCTAAACCTCGAGACCGTTTTGCAACTTAGCATCCCAGCCAGGACAACAGCCACTACTTCCTCCATGAGCGCCTTGGAGCCCGTAAAGGTTCCTCGTAATGGAGCCCTTAAGCCCTCAACCCTAGGGGCCCTGACCCCTAAACCCCTAAGCCCTATAAACCCCTAAGCCCATAAGCCCTACGCCCCAGACCCCTACTGCCCCTACTCCTAAACCCTAAAACCCTAAAACCCTAAACCCTCAACCCTTAAATTCTTGCAGCCCCGCACCCCAAAGCCCGCACCGCAAGGACCTCAGCGGCCCCGAGCTCCTCGCAGCGGTGGCCAGGGCCGAGGCTGCAGCCGAAGAGGCCGGCGAGGAGGGTTTAGGGTTTAGGGGTTTAGGGGTTTAGTTTAGGGTTTAGGGGTTTATAGAGGGTTTACTAGGGGTCCTTGAAGGGTTTCTTTAAAGCTTAGGGGCTGAGTAGGTGACCTTTAACCTTTTGGGGCTTATATAAACCTATTGCAATTCAACAGGTTAACCTTTTTTGGGCTAAGGCACTCGGCCCCTAAGAAAGGGATCCTTGGCAGGACCCTTATAAAGGAATCCTATCGCCCTAAACCGTTGAGGAGATCTACGAGAAGTTGAAGGTTGGGGGGTCTAGGGTTTTGGGGTGTTCGGGTTTAGGGTCACTGGTAGGATCTTCATAAGGGGACCATAGAGGAGGAGGACCCCATCGTTGTAAGGTGGACTGCTTAGGGTTTAGGGTTGCTTAGGGTCTTGTAAGGGTTTGGGGTTTTAGGTCTTGTGGTTGTGGAAGTGGAGTGTCTGGGCGCAGAGTTTGTGTAAATGCAGGGCTGGGAGAACTTGGTGTTTGAAGTTCAGGTTTCTTGCAGGGCCTCCTGCTTCGACCCTAACTTTACACCTGCAATCATTTACATGCTCGACCCCAACATCCAAAACTAAACCCCGGACCTAAAATCCTTGCAAATCCCAACGCCCTAAACCCTAAATACGAAGCTGATGAATTAACTGACTTCGTTTTGAGGGCCTTAATCAGGCCACTCTGTTGTTCTGAAAAGTGGGGCCTTTAAGTGTAGTGGGTTTTAAAATTGTAAGGTCGGACGCTTCGGCTTTACGCTTCAGGTGTTGATGTGTGCAGGGCTCAGGGTTGCTCGGGGGTTTAGGGTTTAGGCACAACCCTGGCTTATCACGGCAATTGCAGCCTAAACACGAAGCCAGAGCCCCCAATCAAGCCCGCATAACTTTCTTACTCTAAGCCGCTAAACCTAAACCCTAAACCGCGCCAGTCTAAACCTCATAGCCCAAAACTTAAAAAGCCCGATGTCGCCAATAATCTACAGGCTGAGGAGCGGGCCAGGCGCGACATGCGGGATTTTGTGGTCAGGGAACTGTACATAGATTGTTAGAAATTCTTGGGTAGAGATTAGCGTATGCGCACATGGGAGTACTATACCACATACCCGGGGGCTCTAAGTCTGTATATGCGCCCTACGTAGCATTGCTATCCCCTTTTGGCAACGCACGTATGTTGCTCCATTTGTCCTACGTTACGCACCCTAGAAGTATATATGTAGCTCCATTTGTCCTACGTTACGCACCCACCCGGCTGGACCCCTCCAAATCAGGGATTGATGTTGGGGATGGCACCCTAATTCGACTTGCCGCGCATATCGACCCGGCCGAGCTTGGTTCCGCCATCATAGTTCATGTGTTTCTTTTCGGTTTCTAGATCTGCACTCATCAATTTTTCGATTGACAGCAGCTAGCGACTCGACGGAGATTTTGGTGCAGCTGCAGCTGCTGTTTAAATCCTGATCTCGGCTACCTGCTCGAGGGTGTCAAACATGAACTGACCTTTAGATAGGATGACACGCACGACATAAAACATGCACACCTGCATGCTCGTTGCTTCGATCCCTGCCATGGCATGTGTGCGCTGCTGTATATATGCAACGTGGTGCATTGCGGCGCCCGGTTCCTAGTC